GCAAAATGCCCTTTGCGTAAAGAATTTCTGAAAACTAGATGCCGGCAGTCGTTCAGCCTTCATTGTGTTAATTGGCTCGTGTTGGTGCTAGAGTTTGATGACATATTACACTTACCGGTTATTATCATCTAACTGCTCAAAGCACAGTACAAATAACGCGTGAATAGAGCACAAATATCCCGCGATATTGTACGGTTACTTAGACAGTTAGTTATTTTGTGCTGTAAAAAAACCTGTTTAACCAGTCGATTGCGCGCGCTACGCTTCTCTATCCGCTTTGCTTTTCCCGCCTTATAAGAAATGAGCAGAAAGACCTAGCAGAAAGTAATTGGATAATAAATAACTCATTAGACGTCTTAGTGTGTAGTATCGCTGAGTGTTTTACTTTTAGATTCTTAAAATTTATATACTGATTTTTACACTTGAATATAATTCTCATGCACTCGTGTTAGAATTCAACGCAGTGAACCAAACCCCTGCTTCTGAGTTCTAAAAATAGACTTAAACCAATCTGTTCTAAAATTTTTAAATATTCGCCAGACTTTGTTAGATGCAGTGTTGATAAACTTTTGCCCTTTAAGGACAACTGCTGGTGTGCAACTAAGAAGTCCCATACCTCATCCTGAGGGGTGGGGTGAGGGTTAAGAAACGAGGATGCACTATTGACTGCAATGTCTCATCTTCCACTTTTATTAACTTAGTGACTGAGTGGAAGTGCCGGACGGGGGAACATTTGACTCGAGATCATGTCCGAGAACCAAACATTTTCCGTTCTCTAATATTATGTGAAAATTTAATTAAGTAATTGTTTTATTATACATTTTTTGGAACAATCTGCTAATGGAGTCACTTCTCTCTGAGTTTGCAAAAGTTTGAGAGCACTTCACGGACGAGGGGCTTGGAAACAAGGCAAACTTTGAACTCAACATGATAACCCAATATCTGCTACAGATATTGGGTTATTATGGCGACTTCACACGCCTTTGTATACTGACTGAATTCTCTTTAAAAAATTATAGTTTTCATAGTTACTTTAATGTATAACAATATTCCTTATAACTTTGTTAATGCCAGGAAATCAAGGATCGTTGTATATTGACATACTTTAACATCGGCGATAAAAAGATTTGAACCTCCACAAAATCAATAATTACTTTGAAATCACTCGTTCTGTAACGATGTAATTTTACACTCAACAAACTTAAAGTAACTAAGATCTTATTTACACTTCTCACTTCAAGCATTAACAATACTCCAGGCTTATATATTATATATAACATTTTGATCGATTTGCGATGCTTGGTAAACGGTACAACAGTTTTCTCCTGAGTATAGGCTGAGTGATTTGAAAACTCTTTGCGTGTTTTATTAGCCTTTCATAGTGAGTTATTAAGCCTCTATACCACTAGAGAATGCAGTTCATACCTTTATTTAATAACTATTGGTTACTCTACATATAAAGTTATTATTAATCATTATGTGTTTGGTACATTTTATTCTAGGAAATAACAGACACTTGTACAATTCTTTGAAAGAATAACAAAGTCATGGCTCGAGATAAATTGCGTGAACCTGTCCATTTCCCACCCAGTTTGAGCTCTTATTTATCAGATCCAGATAATAGTGCGTACAGACAAAGGAACTCTGATTTAGTCCACATTCCTCACTTGTTGCGCACTCTCAAGAAAACGGCATTTTGCAAGGATGGTTAGTTTCACTGAACCGCCCGTGTAAAATTTCTATGATACACCCGCTGGACCACAATGCTAAGGAAACTACATTAAGAATTGCTGCAAGTATACGTCTTTTTCATCTTTTCCGCCAAACAGCCCCGACAGCCATGTTCTGTTAGTTTCTATCGCAAGGGATACGCTGGTGAAAAACCACTCAATCACCAATAAAATGGATGTTTGGATGGCAAATGATTTAAGCAAATTTGCAAAGGATTCGTTTTCGTAAATAAGTTGATACACGAAGAAGA